TTGGCCGAGCCACCTATAGGTGGCTCGGTTTTGGCCGAGCCCCTATAGGTATTTGGGTTCCGTCGTTTTGTCGTTGTATCCATTCTCGTGGTTGGTTTAGACTCTGATTTGTTGACCTGATTTGGCAGTAAATCCGGATCCTGATTAGGCAGTAAATTCGCTTCTGAGTTCGAGTCCGAAACTGATCTTGATTCGATCGTGATTCGTCCGAGTCTGCTCTTGGTTGGATGACTCGTTGATTCCTCAACCCGTTAGCTTGATTCCACACGCGAATGGATGTATTCCGTTGCTTGCGTGCGATTCGTTAACCTCGTCACCTCGTTAATCCGCTTCGTTGCGCCGAGCTATGCTAAGGGACCTATAAGCAATTTTATACGCCTACAGATACCCCCTCCAAAGTATTTCAGCCTCGTTCTTTTATAGAAGAGTCTGGAATACTTTGGATATGATTGTCCCAACCTTCAGTCGGTGTAACGGGACTTTGAAATGGCTTTTGTTCTTGATTCCTTCAATCCTTCAGGCTATTCGGTGCTTTGTCGAATGTCTGTAAGGGTTCCGGTGCTGCATTTATTGTCTGACCGTTGTCGGAAATTTGAACTTGAAGTCGATTCCTGATTTCTTTGATCTTTTAGCTCGTGTTTGCTGGTTCAACATAGAACTGACCATCGATTGTTGGCTCTGAGTCTTTATTTGCGACGCGTTGTCCGGCGTAATGTTGTTGAGTTATCCCTAAGAATATTTTTTAGAAAAATATTCTCCAGGAACTTCTCAACCAAAAATAGGGAACATTTTATACTCATATACCTTATTGGAGTATTAAGAAGCAGTTTATACTCGTATACTTTTCGGAGTATTAATTCTTTCGTTGCAACGCATTGATCGGCGTTGACCTAGGGTTATGCGTTGACCGGCGTTGACCCTAGGGTTTCGAACGTCGTACGTGCAACGCGTTGACTGGGCGTTGACTGGCGTTGACCCTAGGGTTTCGAATGTCGTCACGAGCCTAACTAATGAAGCTGATGCGTCAGTGACTCTCGTATTTATAGGATTTTTGGCAAACCCTCAGCCATCAACGGGTTTGATGAGCCTTTACCGACTACCGTTTGAGTCGGGCTAGCATGCGGATTATCTAAATCCGTTCCGCATGTGACGTTGTGCTAAGAGAGTGAATTCTCTGAGACTTTGTACTATGACGTTGAATATATAGACTTCGCCATTGTTACGGGAATAGGCTTCCCGGCGATACGTGTTAGGTGTTGACTTTAGGATTTTTGGCTAACCCCCAGCCTTCAACGGATTTGATTGACTTTAGGATTTTTGGCTAACCCCCAGCCTTCAACGGATTTGATTAACCTTTACCGACTACCGTTTGAATCGGGCTAGCATGCGGATTGTCTAAATCCGTTCCACATATAACGTTGTGCTAAAAGAGTTAACCCTTTTAGTGCTACGATATTGAATACGTAGACTTCGTCTTTCTCCTGTGAAAAGACTAAACAGCAACGTGTATCAGACGTTGACTTAGGATTTTTGGCAAATCCTCAGCCCTCAACAGATTTGACATGCTTTTACATGCGGATTATTTTAAGTCCGTTCCGCATGTGACGTTGTGCTAAAGGAATGAACTCCCTTAGACTTGATGCTACGACTTCGAATACGTAGACTTCGCCATTGTTATGGGAATAGGCTATCCGACAATGTGTATTAGACGCTGATTTATCCCTACTTAGGCTTCGGGATAAAATGCCCCAGAATCGAACTCTGGTGTCTTTTTCTACGGAGAAAGACTAAACCGGCGATGCGTGTTAGGCGTCGGCATATCCTTTCTTAGGATTCAGGACGAAATTCCCCATGCGTGTAAGGCATGGATTTTGGTGTTATTAATAACAACCTGTCACAACGTTGAACATGTGAACGGGTGTTCTTTTTAACGGTTAAGAACTAACCGGCAGCGCAGGTTAAGCGCAGACTTATCCCTACTTAGGTTTTAGGATAGAATACCCCAGAATCAAACTCTGGTGTCTTTTTGTACGGAAAAAGACTAAACCGGCAACGGTTGTAAACTTATTGTATTCTTTTTCTCTTTAATAGTAGATCTCCCTCTCCTTGCCCCGTGGACGTAGGCAGTTTGCCGAACCACGTAAAATTAGTTTGTTTGAGTTTGTGGCCATTGTAATAGTTTTTAGGATCCCTCGACGCGCAGTCCTAGAGCTGACGAGAGGAAGAGAAAATATCCCACTTTGATGGGATATTAGGCTTTCAGATTCTTGTTCCCTTTGAGAAACAAGAATTCTTATCGATATTTCTCTCTTATTGTGCACCAGAAACTCTGCCGAAATTTTCGCTGCGCGCAACAAGAGAATACAATGGGTTTACAACTCTCACAATCTAAACCCTCAAATTAACTCTCTAATCTCTCACAAAAGGATGCCAAAACCCTAAAAGATGGCTGCACAAAATCCTAGGAGAACAAACTGCACACCGCACGAAGCCCTCTGCCGAAGATCAACCAGAGCCGAAAAGAGATCTTCACTTTGCGTTTTTCTCCAAAGCCGCCACTGGTACTTGCACCTTTCCCGCAGCCAACCCTCAATTGCACCATCCTTCACAAAACCCTAGAAGGGTTTTTATAATGCTCTGTACTTAACTTTCGGGTGGGCCTTTGCCTTGATGTCCGCAACGAGAGAAGAAAACAAAACGCGTGATCTAATCTCTTTCATGTGAACCAATTCACACAAATGTCTCTTTCATGTGGTCCCCACTTGCTTCCATCTCTTCACGTGGTCTTGTCTCCCACGCTCTCCAACAATTTGGAGAGTCTCTCTAAATTTTAGCTTCACTATCCAAATTTGGAGAGAGAACCATCTCCAAATTTGGAGAGTGATTGGAGAGGATTCACTCTCTAAATTTGGAGGGATCCCCATTTTGAAGAGTGGTTGGAGATGGCCTAACATGTTGTGCGCGGCGAAGGCACGAAACCACACAAACAAGAATGAAATAAATCACAACCACACAAGTAAAATACAATACCACAGTAAGACAAACGAATTTTACATGGTTCGGCAAGTTTCTTACGTCCAGGGGGCAAGGAGGGAGGAGTTCTTACTATTAGAAATCAAGAGAATACAAATAGGGATACAAATCTCACCCAATAAATCCTAAAACAAAGCCTTTAGATCTCTCACAGCTCTCCTACAATTGGATGCAACAATCCCCTCTCAAAGACTGCTCAAAATGTCCTTGCTTAACCCTAATTAATTAGGATTAAGATTATATATCAACTCAGAATAAAACTGGTCAGAAAACCAAACTCAACTACAGACCCGACTCGCGGTCGACCGCAGAACCATGCGCGGTCAACCGCGAAAAAGACAGAAACTTTCCAGAGTCTCTGGACTTTTGACGGTCGACCGCCGCGCCATGTGAGGTCGGTCGTGACCTGATACAGAACATAACTCAGCCTCGTGCACGCTGGCGGTCGACCGTCGCGCCACACGCGGTCAACCGCACAACACCCAAACTTGTTATTTCGTCATTTTCTGTGATCTTTGTGGTTGTGCTCTCGCCATTTCTTCATAACAGTTCTGATCCTCGAGTTGACACTCGAGAGGATCATCATAACTTACAAATAAAGATTTTAACATTTAAGTTCTACTTTCACATAACCCTTTTTTAATCTCATAAAACCCCATGAACTTTGGGGTGTCTCATGAAACCCCTTTGAACTTTAACCTTCTCTCAACAGACCTTTCATACTTGTAAATTGCAAATAACTAAAATATCTTTGAAGGAGAAAATTCTAAAATTTGTCATTGGCCATTTATAGACTAATATATTCTCTTCCCTAAATTTTGGATTTTTTAATCTTAAGATTTGCAAATTAAATGTAAAGATGTCCGATGAGAAATTTTGAAGTGTAGGGGATTTTATGAGACACTCGCTCCAAAGTTTAGAAGTATCATGCGAAATAGACAAAGTTTAAGTTCAGCGGCTGCGCGCAACACCCCGCAAAGTACAGGTAGGTTATGTGAAATTAACCCAACATTGAATTTAGACCCGATTAATGACAATAACGACAACACATAAAATCTTTCCTCAATCACAACCATATGCTATTTATTAGATAATAACTGTCAGTAATCTAGAAAGAAATTAAGTAGTATATCTTGACTACAAATCACATAAAAGTAATAACCATTGTTCAAAGTAAGTCATAATTATTTGTAAAAATAGTATGCACTTCAGGTGTAGGAACATACTCTTCCCTATTTTTTCTTTTTTTTTTTTCGTTTTATTTTGACAACAGAAAACATTCAAACTTTTGGCAATGTGGAACCAGTAGGAAGGATCCAGACACAGTGAACTAGCATGGCCCTTTTGTAAAATATCAGCCAAAAACATTTTTTTATTACTTTTTTTTACATAAGATTACACGTCTAGATTTGAATCATAAAAGAATATTCTTAACCTAATTCGGGAAATATTGAAATCTAATCCTAAATAAGACACGGAACATACTCCTACTACTAAAACTAGCTATGAAACGCAGATATTACACGTCTAGATTTGAATATCTCAAAAGAATATTCTTAACCTAATTAATTCGGTAAGTAATGAAACATAATCCTAAATAAGACAACGAGCACGCTCCTACTAAAACTAGCAGCTAGGAAACGCATTAGCTGCCGCCCGCGTCACAAAAAATTAACCAATTCTCTGGAACATTTCCTACGTAAGTAGTGAATGGGCTGCTTGCATTCGAGTTCGAGAAGGCGTTGTCGAGGTTACGAGGATCCCGTGCTTCTTGCAAAGGAGACTGCTTGTAAGATCTCTGTCTCGATTTATTATGTTTAGTTCCATTTTCTTGATTGTGGATTGAATTTTTGAGCATGGATTGGTTTGAAGTTGATAGGTATACTTGATAAGTTTTGTGATTGTACTGAAACTGCACAATGTTTTAGAGCTCTACAGGGGAGGAAGAACTGTAACTTTATGTTAATTTTTTTACGCTTAATTGTAGAGAAGAAATTTGCGAAATACTGGTATATATGCATATTGAATCATGCAGACAATCAGTTATGGTTTGTGAGAAAAAGGCGTTAGCTGTTTCTGTCCTATTTTATAGTTTTTTTATAATTTTATTTGATCGGATATTTTATAGTTATTCCTTGAGGATTAATTGAATATTTTTGCACCCTTTTTTCATATATATATATATATATTATAAAAGTGGATTGGAATGTTAAAGCATTTATTCCGAAAATGCCCTTTAAAACATATACATACATATATACATACATAAAATACATGCATCCATACATAAATCATAGCATAACCCCCAATTGAATGTATACTCATAATACATAAAATACATGCATCCATACATAAATCATAGCATAACCCCCAATTAAATGCATACTCATAACTCCCAAATAATTTTATTTTAAAAGTTATAAACGTGCAAGTCATAACTACCCTAATTAAATGCATACTCATAACTCCCAAATTATTTTATTTTAAAAGTCATAAACGTGGTATAAACAAGGTTTTAAATGTCAGATGTCGGGTTCATGTTGGATGGCTGAAATCCATGTCGGATAGTAAAAATCAGGGATATATCAGGGGACATTAACTAAATATCGGATTGCCATATCGGGTAGTGCGCATATGTATAATATCATATCCTAAATGTAATCTAAGCATTCATAAATTCAATATAAACATACTTTATAAATTCTATAGACTAAACATATAAAAAAGTAAATAATATATGAATTTAGGTTCATAAATTCTTTCTATCAGGTTCATAAGAAACCCTTAAACATGAGAACGAGTCAAACGGGTTTGGGTATTTATCACAAAACCCAAATCCGATAACAAAAAACAGATCTTAAAAAAAAACCATATCAGTTGATTTTTCAAAGCTAAAAAATAGGCCGATATGCCCGATATGACCCTGATATTTCCGATTTAGCCCTAAAAACCGACATACGAGTTGAAAACGTCTATGTCGTGTCGGTCAAGCCCTCAAACTGATATGTCGGCCGACATGTCGGACATGTCGGTCGACATTTAAAACCTTGGGTATAAATGGTTTTTATTTTATGGTAATCATAATATTTAAATATAACAGTTATGATAATAACAATAAATTAAAGCTCAAAACAAATACACTTTTAATTATGTACTAACTGTTGTTTAAACTTTTGTAACCTCCAATCATCAAATTCAGTTATGGTAATAGCAAAAGGAAGGAAAGAAAGTAAGAAACTAAAAATTAAGTTTGCATGATCATTTCTTATTTCCACCTCACATAATTTGAACATAATAGCTAGGATGGATGTCCTAAAATACTAAAGCATAAAGAGCACTGCAATGATCTGTAAATTATTTACTATTCAAGTAAGCTTGAAAACCTTATGTTAGAGGATTTATATTGGGCGATTCTTCAATGGGATTGCGTTTGGTTTTCCTCTCAATAGAGGAATTTAAGGTGAATACACAACGGTTAAAAGCACAAAAGACACATTTAATAATTTTCCTTCTAAACCAACATACGACACTATTAATCTTCTTTAACTTCTCATTCAAATCAAAACCCTCTTCATCTCTTCCATATCATAACCTCTACATTTCACAATATATAACTCCCACATCTCTGCCTCCTACTCAACAATCCATTCACCAAAACAAAGAGTATCGATATCTCTCCTTTAAAACATAGCTTGCCGAAACAATCTATCATTTTTACGCTGACAAACCCATCCATTTTTTAATTTCGTGTATCGACCAACCTTGATGACAACGGTTTTGTGGACTATTGGAGCGAGATGATGTAGCTCCAACATGGGTGCTCTAATAAGGTCGTATTATTCTTCGTCAATGATGAATAACATATGACCTCGACTGCAGATGATGAGCTAGCTTCATCTCATTTTTATTTTTAGTTTCTGTACATAGTTATCTATGCTTTATGCAGGATGTCTATGCTATTATACTTTGTATTATAGTTTAAAAGAAAAAAGTTTTCCTCCATTCGTAATTCACTTTGTTGTGATTGGTATTGTTGAAAGTTACAACAACCAGATTTGAGAAATTGATAAACAGGCGACTGAGCTTAAAGCTTTCATAAACATCAATTAAAGTTCATATTATCAGGCTCTTGAACTGTTGCTTTCCTCCTCTGTGCTTACACATGAAGTGGTTACACGTGCATCGCACGTGCACTACACTAGTTTAGTTAAATGGGGTTTAAATAAGCGGGTTTTATAAGTAATAAATGGACACTATGGGCGGAGATTTGCCCAACCATAAATTCATGCACATTTGGCCATAGAACTTCAAAATTTCATATCTGCAAAACTCCATTAAAAATTCAAAACTTACAAATAGTATAAAGTCTATAAATTATACACATCCCAAAAAAATTTAAAATATGCAAAAGAACATCCTACAACTTTTAGAATTTTGAAAAACACCCTCAAAATTAAAAATGTTCAATAAACTCCCTTAAAATATCAAAAACTACACATTATATAAAATCTATTAGCTGCATACAACATCTGAAAGTTTTAAATTTTGAACGAAACACCCTAAAAGTTTAAAAACTGCAAAAACATACTTAAATTGAATTTTTTTGAAAAAACCGCCCTCAGTTTATCAAAACTCACAAATAGTATAAAAATATGTAAATTACAAAGCACTTGAAGGTTTTGAATTTAAAAAAACACCATAAACGTTTGAAAAATTATGAATAACTACTCTTAAATTGCTAAAAGCACCCCAAAAGTTTTAAAAATTACAAAAACACACTTAAAAATTCAAAATTTATAACAAATCCTAAAATTTTCAAAATGAACATAGTACATAGAAAATATAAGAATTACAAATAGCTCATTTTTAAATTTGCAAAAAACACCCTAAAACTTTTAAAAGTTGCAAAAAACACATCAAAATTTTAGAATTTACAAAAAATTCTTCAAACTTTCGTATAGTAAATCAAAAACTAGGATTACAAACAGCCCCTTGAAACTTTTGGAATTCACAAAAAACGCCCTAAAACTTTCAAAAGTTGTAAAAAACATCTTCTAAATTGAAATTTACAGAAAAATACAATGAGAGTTTCAAACCTACAACCAATATGCTAAAAATCTAGGAATTATTAGAAGTCTTGTATAAAAATTTGACTTGTAGAAAACACCCTCGATGTTTTAAAAATTGCAAAAAATAAAAATTGAAATTATAAGAAAACAACTCTTTTTAATTTTTTTTCCTTTTCAGGTTGTTCCTAGTAAATGTCAAAATTTTTAGGGTATTTAATACAATTTTTAAAGTTTTATGGTGTGTTTTTTACAAAGTCTAAAATTTACAAGGGGCTGTTTATAGTCCTAGATTTTCAATTTACTACTAGTTTAAAAATTTTCAAAGAGTTTCAGAAAATTTTGCATGTCAGGTTGGTTTTTTGAACTTTTGAAAGTTTTAGGGTTTTATTTGAAAAATAAAAATTTGTAGGGGCTATTTATAATTCTTAATTTTTTTACTGTACAGCTCTTGGCTTGACATTGTGAGGCTCTTTTTGCAAATTTTGAAATTTTACACTGTTTTTTGTAATTTTTACGTGTTTTAGGGTATTTTATACATATCCCAAAATTTTTAGGGGCTATTTGTAATTTTAAGATTTCAGTGTACTATTTGTAGATTTAAAATATCCATAAAAGCTTTTCATAAATTTTAAATATTTGAGGGTGTTTATTACAACTTTGAACGAATTGGGGTGCTTTTTGCAAATTCTAAAATTTTAGGGGGCTATTTGCAGCTTATAAGTTTTAGTTTTCTATTTTAGGTTTCAAAATTTCAAGCTTTATCTGCAAGTTTTAAAATTTTGAGGGTGTTTTTGTTAAAATTTAAAAGTTTAGGTTGTTTTTTGCAAATTCTAAAACTTTTGGGGCTATTTGTATTTCTCTAATTTTCATTGAAATATTTTAGATTTGAAAATTTTATTTTATTTTTTAATTTGATTTTTGAGGGTATTTTTTTATAATTTTCAAAATTTTCAGTGTGCTTTTGTAAATTTGAAAATTTTTAGGGCATTTCTTTTAAGGTTTTAAACTTTCAGTGTTATTTATACGTTTTGAATTTATGGGATAATTGTACAATTTTTAATATTTTTGAGGCTTTTATTGTAGTTTTGGAATTATTGGGTGTTTTTTTGTAATTTTTTATTTTGCTAGGGGATGTTTGTAATTTTTTCTATTGTTGGGGCTTTGTGGTAAGTTTGATACTTTTTTGATTAGTTTGCAAAGTTCCCACTAAAAGTTTGCAAAGAGACCCTTGAAAGTTTATGTATATAACACTATCATAGTTTAATTGGGCAAATTGGCAGTCCGCTTGTTAAATGAGCATGCAAAATCCCGCCCATTTAATAATTGCTAAATGAGCCATAAATGAGCAAAAGGACAAACTTTGCCCGTCCATTTATAGCCCTCTCATTTATGGCCCATACCCACTCATTCAACATCCCTAAAGCATGTACATGCTTAATTCTAGTCAAAAAGGTCAAAATTGATTGCTTTTTATAAGATATGGCTTAGAATTGAAAGTACATTAGACTTAAAATATGAAATACTTAAATTTCAAACAAATATGAAGCACTATATGAAGGCACATACCTCATGAGAACTTTGACCTTTCTACTGTGAAGCTTGAGGCGAACTCTCCCAAACCCTTCCATCTTTACCTTCTCGTTGTTTCTAATGATGAAGTTAACATATTCTTCATCTATCTTTAATGTGTCATAACAACATTTGTTGTTGCAAACATGCA